CTTATTAAAATAATTAACTTTGCTTATGGACAACTCAATATGCAACATGTAAAGCTAACTAAGCCTTAAAAATACTATGTATAGTTATCTTAATCGGATGACAACTTCAGCAATCAAATTTGAGGTGTCATTTGCTGAATTTTCAAAAGGCGAACAAGTGTATGTGAATAGGAAATGAAAAGATTCGAGTTATTATAGAACGAATTCAAATATGGCGTCCAATTTGAGTTGCCATTGATCTGGACTCACTAGCCTCTCATACGTGTAATAATCCTTTTGTGTTTCCACGTGAAGACGAGGCTAGTGAGTCCGGGTTTAGTCATGTATGTTTTCAGTTCACTCCAGTTTCTTATCGCCCTTGGTAAACACGGACTTATTTAACAAATGGTAAACACCACAGCGTGCACAATTGAGTTATGGATGCACGCAGGAGGTTGCTAAGCACGAAAGAAGCATAAGAGTCACTCGAGGCGATAGCCTCGAGTGACTCTAGCTTCTTGAGTGCGCGCTTAGCAAACCTCCCAAGTGCATCCATAACTCAATAGTGTACGCTGTGGTGTTTACCATTTGTTTTATAACACAACATTGATACATTGTAGCGCAGAAAAATAGTCTTTGCATTTGCTCACGTCAGCAGCATACACCCATGGGCAAATGGGGGGCGCTAAACTGACCCATCAGAGCGCGCGCTTTACTTTGGTTATGTTATAATATATACTGGGTGAGAAAAAGTGAAAATTACAATTTCACTTTTTCTCACCCATTATATATCAACAACCTATTGTAATCAGCAGCTGCATTTTTTTATATAGAACGATGTAAATATAAATTAGCCAACAAGAATGTTTTTCATTAAATCTGTCTGACGAGTGTACAAGCACAAAACTCAGAGTTAGAGGGAATCATGCCTGTTTCATTTTAGTCATTTTGAACTGTTCTTGGATATAAATATGTTTTGGACCCTTTTCAGAGTTATTTTAAGCTGAGCTACCTAAGACTCTGAGCTAGGCCCAAAACATATCATTGACAATGAACCAACTGACTGTTGACCAACATGTGTGCCCATGGAGTGGATGATTGGTTATTAAATGTGGCGATTTTGTTTTCGTCTTTGTTTGCAACATTAGTGTGGTGATTTTTTCACTCTCTTTCTTGTAGATGGTATCATACAAAGTTTGAAGATTATCCAAAGTCTCGTAAAGCTCTGATTCCGTTTGTTTTGTGAAACAGTGAAGGAAATTAGGGAAGGGAAGTAATGAATGAACATTAATTTTCAAATTTAGAGTTACCATGTACAGTATTTTTTTTCTTATGTGCATTGAGAACCAACAATAACATGTGCGGTATACTCAAAATGCTTTGTGTTAGTAACAGTTTCCCACACCACTGGTCAAGTTCGCCATTCATATTTCAGCATTTTATGTAACATTTAACTCTTCCCTTAATAAAGTATTTTTTATCAAAGGCAAAGATTGACATATGATTGCTTCTTTGATCTTTTAAGTTTGCATGGACAGTAAATAAATGGTGTGGGAGAAGCAAAAATTCTCCATTGATGAATGGTAATAGCTGGGTTATGGTTTATGATATGTGACCACTTATGACCTTGTCACCTTTTCTGTCTTCAGTTCTTTTTCACAATTTGAGTCCATCACCATTCCACTTCCTTCCCTTCTCTCCCTCTCTCCCTCCCCTTCATTGGCAGTATCGCACGATATCCGCGCGTGATCACGCTTTCCGAGTGTGATCCTGACGACAAACCACCATTCGGGACTCTGTGTGAAATCGAGGCTCGCTTTTCGAAAACTTGCCGCCATGTTTTGTGGAGGGAAGTGAACACCATGGAAGGTGTGTGAGTTTTCACTCTCGTAAATCGGGTCGTGTTCCTTCACTGACGAGTTATGGTGGAGTTTAAAGTTTACAGGACGGTGATATGAATATTACGGAATGTTTTCCAATGAGGAAGCGACGATCTCTCGATAAGACTCCCGGACGATCTCACGACACTTCAGGTAGTTCATCTGATAGTAAGGCAATTCCGTAATTCAACTGTTAATGTTTTCCAAAGTTTTTTTATAACGTATTATTTCTGGCAATTAATGAAGTGAATTTGATGAAAAGTCGTTTGCTTTAAGTTCAGCGGTGCATGCTCGGTATGAAATAGCGACAGTGACAAAAGAAATTATGCTAGTGTGAATGTTTTTGTCCAGCGAAGGAAAAGTGTTTCTCTTGTATCGTTGAGCATGGACTGAATACAGAATACAAGGGAGCTGTATGGTTTGAAAGATGGGCAAAACTACAGAATACAGGGCCTCTTAATTACATCTCACTGAATCACAATGCATCCTTTTGTTTTCTGCCTCGTTCTTCAAAGCATGCCGACAAGGTGGACCTCAATGGCCCCGAAAGATGATTTGATTTTATCAACTGAGTCGATGATGTAAATTGGCCTTAATAAAGAGTTTTTACAGCGGACGTTTCGAGCGGCAGCCCTTCGTTAGAGCGAATGTGTGGTTTGAATTGTAAACTGGGTGTTCGTTCACCATTACGTTATATCTACTTTTCAGCCCTCAGCCGGTCTCCTCCAGTAAGTAGACTACGGCGAACTCCTCGTCGCCTCGGAGGTAGTATTTGTAATAACTCACTGTTGGATCAGTCTCTTGAAATTGTATGGGACAACAATTCTCCATCACCTACAAGATTTACTCAGGGTATGTTACAGGTTGTGGGTTCGTTATGGAGTTGTTCACAATATCGTCCATGGTTAACTACCTGCGCAGTGCATTTAAAACAATTATTCAGTCCAAGAAGTGTCTCATTCATAGTAATGGATTATACAACATAGAAACATTAACTGAAAACTAGGCTCAATACAAAGTGATTACCGGTCTAAGTCTTAAATTTTCCCTTCTACATGTACTGTTAGGTAAACTGTTCAATCTGCAAGCTTATAAAATAGTGTGTGTAAGTTTTGAACAGGGTAATTTTGTCAACTTAGTAGAAATTGTAAATTGGCCACCCTAAAGAGTTAAAAAGCTGATGTTTCAAATGTTAGCCCTTCATCATTTGCTCTGTTGAAGGGCTAATGCTTGAAACATCAGCTTTTTAACTCTTTATGGTGGCCAATTTACAATTTCAACTAAGTTGATAAAACCAAATTACCTTGTTACCCCCACTGATGCAGCCACAGTTTTTTCAGAAACTTACCTCCTTTTTAAGTGGTGAACAGTTATTAACTGTAACATGAATGAAAAACAAGTCAATGGTACAAAAAATTCCATGAACAGACAACTTTCTAAAAAGTAATTTCACATTCATAAAAAACATAGGCTTTTACTTTTTCGCACTGGTTGAGTTCTCTTCCAATTTATACCTGATCCATGTTCATCTAACCAACCCAACTGCAATATTGCACTACTCCCTGGCTCATTGGGAACACTGAGAACCTCTCAAATTTTCATTGGTATGGACCTGTTCTCATGCAATCCAGAGAGAAGCCTCTTCATAATTTGCATGTGAATGTGTTAAAATAAATAGACTGTGTACATATAACAAATTTTTCTGTCAATTTAATAGGGAAAAGGAAGAAACACCATGGAAGTGACAGCAGCAGCAGTGGAGGTGAAATTTCAGATTTGGTACAAAAGTTGGCTGACAAGGTGAATGTAGTGCAGGGCAGTGTTTGGATAAGACTTATTTTATTTCCTCGGCCACATTCTTAGTATCTTTTGTTCTGTAAGTATGAGTAACCTTACTCAGTCTTGGTCCATACTTACAGGTAGGTCACTCAGAAATATGTTTGCTACAAAATGATCAGGTTTTGGTTGAGCATCAACTGATGGTCATAGGTCAACTGACATTTGACCAATAGTGAGGTGATGTAAGCTGACTCTTAGTTATCTACACTTAGATATCAACTTATGTTGGCTGAGTGTTTGGTGGTCATTAATTGACTCTATTGGCTGACAATCAGCTTGTGTATATTGATGGACTAACAGCAAACATTTGAACTAATAGACATACTTTTAACCAAATCTACTTTTTACTTTTACCCCTAAGAGTGGCTGTCATTTAATTTGTAAGTACAACATCACCTTAAACATTCAAGAAGTTCTCGATTGTTTGACAAATTCTCCTTGTCAGCACCTTAGGAAGTGTATGGAGAAACAGTATGGAGAGTATGCACACCTTATCAGTTTAAGACATCAGGTACCTTTGGGTCTTTCACTGGTATATGCTGCTCTAATAGGTGGGTACAAACTATAATTAAAGAAATTTTTTTCTGTCAGTCTGGTAGTACGCCAGAAGCAAATCCACCATTGCTAGCATTCTGGATGTCCAGAGAACACAACACCTCAGCACAGGCCAACAGTAGCAATGCTTCAGTGAAAGGGGATGGAAGTAGTGGGCAGAAGATCAAGGAATTCCAGACACCATCCCGAAGATCTAGGTAAGTGGTGTCATTGCCATTTTTTGTGACTGGTCTCTATTCATTATGATTTTGTTTCTGCCTGTTTTTCTATAAGTGGATAATGAAATATATCTTTTTTGTAGACGGCTTCTTCGGAAATGCAACAAATCCAAGATGAAACTTCTGAAACAGGACCTTGAACTTCTTGTACTTCCACCAGAGAAAACAGGTTAAAATGGGGATTTTGAATCCATTGAGAACATTTATAGCATGGCTGTGAAGACCTCATTTTGTCAAATTCATTTTTCAAGATGATTATAATTATGGTAGTGGTTTCTTTTAGGATTTCTTATGAAGCTATTATTATTAATATTACTGTTGTTGTTGTTATTGGAATCGTTGTGGTTATTTTCCTTTACAGAAGAGGAAGCCACAATTAGAGAGGAGAGTTCAGAAACTTTAAGGTACATGAAGCTTTACTCAAAATATTTTGTTGGTAAATCTATTAAGTGGAGGTCCACTTAATAGACCGCCTCCCAGTTAGCTCTATTGATAAAGCGCTGGACTGTTGTGCAGGAGGTCGAGGGTTCGAGCCCCTGCTGGACCAACACTCAAGGTCTTAAAACAAGTGAGAAGAATATGCTACCTTTCTATATCAAGAAATGGTTAGATACTCTAGTCTTCTCGGATAGGGACGAATAATTGGAGGTCCCGTCTCCTGCAGGGTTTGGGGTAGGAGACCTTAATTTCCCACGCAGGAGATTACTGTGTGATGGATGTCCTCCCCTGGGGTGGTTGCTGGGTGGCAATTGACCCTGAAAAGCCCCCATGGGGAGTGGTCAATTAACATAATGTATGTATGTACAACACAGCCTTTTTTGTCCTCTTTTTCTTGCAGCAAGTTACATCAAAAAGCCTGCCAGGACACTGAAGATGTAAATCAAGGTGTAAAAGTAAAGGGATCTGAAAGCTCAGAGTTCTTTGATGACTGGGGCTCCGATGAAGATGATCTGATTCTCAGTCAAATGGAGATTCCTGTTTTGAAAAGTGCCATTCCAGAAACACAAGTCATGACCAACACACAATTCCTGGACAGTGGGGGAGATATTCAGCAAAACAGTGAGTTGGTGCTGCCACTGCTTACCAAAAGCCACAGAACTAATGCAAATGTAGATACCATTGATAAAATTTGTACAGAAAGTTGGGATTTTGTTAATGATGACACTGATGATGACTACATTCTTCAGACTGCTCTTGAGGATGTTGAAAAATCCCAGCAGGTTACCATTCCAACTGTTAGAAGAGTGTCACATTTGTACATAAAACCTGATATGCTTAATGTCAATGAGGGAAAAAAAGGTGATTTGCATGGCAGAGGGAATGCTTGTGTGAAAGACAAGAGTGACATTACCAGGTCAAAGGACCAATGTTTTAGACTACAGAATAATCCCACACTGCAAGTACAAAGCACAAGAAAAAGAGACTATTCCTTTGTGCATCACTCTTCTATTCAAAGCAGCAGTACTGTGCAGACAAAAAGTTTCACAACTATTCAAGAAAATAAAAATGATTTAAAGATTACCGCCAGTGACACCCCACTGCAAACAAAGCCTCAGAGAGTGGTACAACAAGCGACAATTTGCCCAGAGATTGACAATAAAAACCAGGAATTTAGGATGCAGCAGAGAAATAAATCAGAAGGAAGTACACTGGGTGAGTATTTCCTGTGTGATAACATTTATTCAAGAGTGCTTTTACGTAACAAATAGAATCTATGTTGCTGTGCATCTGTTCAGCAGTGGATCTCAGATTATGTGAAAATGTGGCAAGAACAAAAAGCTACCCATGATGGGTGGGTGAGTGTCATTGATGTTCTTACCACAGTTTGACATCTTCTGTGAGCCATTACTGTTGAGAGCCACGCCAATATGGAATCTATTTGTTTTGTAGAATAAAGAAGTGATAAAGTGTCGATGGTGATGGTATCTACATACATATCCCTCAGTCAATCATAAGTAAGAATCAATGAAATGCACATACCAGCAAATGAAAATGTTAACTCAGTGTGGGTGTCTATTTTCCACCATGGAGACCTGCCAGCAGATGGGGTTTGAGGAAAAAGTTAAGGTGGTAGAATTTTTCCCACTGTGTTTGTTCACTTTTTGCAACTTTTTGATTCACTACTTGTCCATACTAGCTGCTCACTTTCTGCCTGTTTCTGTTGGTCAAATATTCATTCATAATTAGTAGATTTGCTTGTGCCTGGTGCCAGGGTGATGGAGCTGATTAAGAAACAAATTTTCCCTGCTTGGTTATAGGTCATTGTTCTCTCTAATAAATAAGCTTGATATTCATAAATAAGTGATTTAATTTTTTTTACTGCATGCTTTTAAGGAGGCTCCAAGACAGCTAAATACTCTAAGGAAGAGATAGAAAGGAAAAAGTTGGCTGCTCAAAGTCGCCGGCAACAAAAAATGGCACAGTCAAGTCAGTTCAAGCAGTAAAGACAGACTGCAGGAGATTGAAAATGGATTTGTTGTATATGGGTTTTAAATGTTTGCTCAACATTTGTCAATATTATGAAGAATCCAATTCTTTATGTACATGAAACAGTGAATAAAACTGATTCAATGAAGATTGCTCACAGTTATATTATTGATAATTATTGAGTGAGTGAACACTTAATTTAAACACAAGGGAGTATTCAGCAGAGCTGGTGGGGTCGTGTATTTAGAAATAAAAAATAAGTATTAAAAATTTAATTAAGAACCTAGAATTATGTACAAGAATTATGCTATGTACAAGACTGTAAATTTAAAATCCTAAAAATAAATACAATCGTCTTTATACTTGATTACAGCGGCAATTGGATCAAAATTTATTTATTGTGATTTGTCAGTGACAAGTTGTTCTATTGTTTGCCTCAGTAGCCATTCCCCCTGATATTGATCTGCCACACTAATAAAATGCAACATTTTGTGATAGCTGAGTTCAGTAAGTGTAATATCATCCAATTAAGGTGCTTTTCAAAATTATTTTTGGTTTCACACTCTTGATAGTTCAGGGGAGTGCATTGTCATTTTGTATGGGCATGCAAGGGTACAATGCATGCTTCAGCCCACATTATTTGTGGCCTGGGGGCGGGCTAATAGCACAAGCAGTTCCTGCAATGTAAAGTACCCTTCGAGCATTTGTTCAGTGTCTTCCGATAAACAGGAGTACTAACTATGGGTGATAGATTATGACTGGCTAAGTAACCAGAGAGGATTGTTCTTGAATCTTGGCAAGCAGGGTTTGTGTGGGTCAAAGGCTGCAAATCTGTGCTTCAGATCAACTATTCCAACTCCAGCCCCCAGTTGTTGTAGAAGAGTTTGACCAAAGAGTGGATCCATCATCATACCAATTCCCAGGATTGTCAACAGGCTCACCCCACCCTGTGGGACTGTCAATGCCTTTGAGTTCCTTGCCACCCCAGCGATCTGGTCCCTTGGGTGGGTTTGGCATAGTGCCTGGGGGAGCCTGGTAACAGTCAGCATTTGTAGTTGACTTGAGGTTGCCAAGTGCTTGAATGCGGCTGGGTGTTGCCTTTGAAGGGGTGGCTTTAGATGCACAAGATGCCTTCTCCTTATGAAGAGCATTGACATACTGTTGTACCATAACATCATCCATGTTATCATTATCACTGATTGCAATAATGTCCTCTAAATCTTCATCATCAATCACATGCACTGGAGCAACAACTGATGTGTCCCAATCATCCCAAGGATCTGAGTTGGTTTTCTCCTTCTGGGTATTGCATTTTTCTGATGTCGTGTGTAATGACTCCTTGTTTCTGTCATTGGGATTATCCCATTTGTGGCTTGCTCCTGTTGTTAACTGTTCATTGACACTCTCTTTTGGCTGTCCAGGTTGTGGCTTTTGTGTTTGGTAGTGCTTTCCATACCGTTTATTTCTGAATCGTGGAGGAAGATTAATATTTGAAGCAGAATCTTCATTTGCAGCAACATTTACTTTTTCTTTGTGGTTTTCAAGTTCATTCTGAAACAAAGATGCTGTTTGAATATCTCCTTGTGACTGGGTGCCACTCATTGAGGCCTTTGACCAGTCTGCGCCCCCAGCAGAATCCACACAGGAGTCAACTTTAATCTCTTCCTGTTGTAGTTGGGTAGAAGAGAAGCACACGGAGTCAGCAGTACTTCCATGTTTACCAGCACCAATGCATTTGTCAACAGTTTCCTGAAAAGAAGTCAATAACAACATGTTAAGTTTTTTTAAAGGTTACCTGATGACCTCTCAAAGCACGAAATCAGTTAAAATATAACAAAGACATAGAAGGAGGAAGAGGCAGTGTGGCTGAGTGGTTAGAATGCTGAACTTGTAATCTGATGGTCCTCAGTTTCAAGCAGTCCACCCTGCTAATCACTCGATTTGTTCTTGGTTTCCCCAAGTTCAACTTCTTGTTGCACTATGTATATAGCCAACTAGTCTGCTGCCAGCTAGTTTTGATTTTTTTTAACACTGTGTTTGTTGTTTGTACTGGCCTTGACAAGCCCCATTAGGGGAGTGGACAATGTAGTATACTTACTTTTAAATCCTAGGCAATATTGCAAAATCCACAAATATACATCAGGTGAAATTCAACCTGTTAAGCAACTAACACAGTACTGCATTTTACTGAGTGCAAAACCTTGCTAGATCTTTAAAAAATTCTGAAAACACCAACTGGGGGTGCCTTCTATCACACTTGACTGTGTAGATTTATAAAAATCCAAAACAACTAATTATACTATAAATGTATATTTTTATAACCTTTGCCTGGGGCAATGTTGTTGACCAGAGATTGGATCCATCATCATACCAATTGCGCGAATCCTCAACAAGTTCACCCCACCCTGTGGGACCGTCAATGTCTTTGAGTTCCTTGCCACCCCAGCGATCTGGTCCCTTGGGTGGGTTTGGTATAGTGCCTGGAGGGACCTGGTAAGAGTCAGCATTTGTAGTTGACTTGAGGTTACCAAGAGCTTGAATGCGGCTGGGTGTTGCCTTTGAAGGGGTGGCTTTAGAAGCACCAGATGCCTTCTGATGAAGAGCATTAACATACTGTTGTACCATAACATCATCCATGTTATCATTATCACTGACTGTAATAATTTCGTCCAAATCTTCATCATCCATCACATGCACTGGAGCTACTACCGACGTTTCCCAATCATTCCAGGGATCTGAATTTGTTTTCTCCTTCTGGGTATTACATTTTTCTGGCATCATGCGTAATGACCCCTGCTTGTTTCTTTGACTAGGATTATCCCAATTGTGTCTTACTCTCATCTCAAACTGATGTTCATTGACACTCTCTTTTGGTTGACCTGGCCCTGGCCTTTGTGTTTGAAAGTGTTTTCCAATGTGTTTATTTTTTAATCTTGGAGGAAGATTATTATTCATAGCACCATCTTCACAGTTACCAATATTCAATTTGTGTATGTGGTTTTCAAGGTTATTATGAAACAGTGATGCCCTTTTCATTTCCTTTTGCCACTGTGTGCTTTGCATGGGGGTTTTTGAACAGTTTTTGTTACCAGTTAATTCTGTATAGCAATCAGTTTGAATGGGTTTGAACCCATCTAGTTGTTGCTGATTGGAGGACGATGACACATAACCTGAACTGTTTCCATTTTCACCAGTATCATTCAACTACAAAGAAGACAATGTTGACAATGTTAAGTCAATGTTAAGTCATTATTTAGTTAACTGATGACTGACATAAGAAATCAGACAATCAAAATCAATTAATTTTTTTCTGCCAAAAACTCTTTTGCATAATATCCTATCATAAATTCATACTCTTCCTTTTTTTAACGTTTTCATTCAGGTCTTTTGTTATATATGAGCATTACTCTCATCAATATTCTGTTCTTTTTTCCTTCATAATTTTCCTTTATTTATATAATAATAGTAATAATAATGATAATATACATTAATTGAAGCTTCCCCTTAGGGGCTTTTCAGCCACAATGTAGACTAACTAATGTAGACTAACTACACAATGTAGACTAACTAAGAGCCCCACTAGCAGGAGGCAGACCAGTAGGCTATTTACAGAGCGCAGCAGAGGAGTTGAACTAGGGGCAACCGGGAACAAATCCAGTGAGTGGCAGGGTGGAGGACTTGAACTCGGGACACCGGATTACAAGTCCAGCACCCTAACCACTCGGCCACGCCGCCTCCTACATGTATCACTTGTTCAACATAGATTTTATTCATTCAGATCCACCTATTGTTTGACTGTTTGCATAGTTTAACTTCATAATATCCCTTTTTGCATCTTCATTTTACCCCAGTCTTGTTCAATGTTTGTGTCTTTGTTTCCTTTATTTTTGTTTTGCCTTTGCCAGCTATTTCTTTACTTATAATTGTAATAACTTTTGTTTATAGTAACTGCTCCAACTTTCTTTCCTTTTGTATCTTAACAAGGAGTGAATTAAAGAGCACATTCATTGGACATGTAAAGAGTATTTTTTTGTCCATCATATAACCAGTGGGGATGTATTTGCACAAGTTGTAACTGCTTTTTCAAGTAATTGAAGGAGTGGATAATGGAGATTTGTAAGTTTGTTAGTGAGTTTAGATCAATTATGTTCATAAGTTACCTTATCCAGCATTGCTGAGACATTTAATTGGCCACTCAGTATCAACTTTTGCACTTGTCTTCTTCTTTCAACCTCCTACAAACAAAAGCCAAAGATCAGAAAATACTTACAATAACTTGCAAAAATGTGACTCTTGTAAAACTGGGATAGGTACACATAATCTAGTGTTTTCAGCATTAATGTTAGTATCCTCATTTGGCTGGAAATTACAATAACCCCATAACATTTCAATTAGACTGAGCATTTTAAAAAGAGTTAATTCCCTGCAATTTTTTTAAATTTCATAAATTTCAATCAATAAATATATTTATAGCAGGGCTCCCACACATGCTTCGCGTGCATGGGGCAGAGCCCCATACCCATGGAATGTGGTCAACCTCTTTTGTTTGGTTGTCACGTGACTGACTGAGCGTAAGTACGTACATGCCTTCAGATTGTACGGGTAGGGTAGGGGAGACTATCAAAACAAAGGGAGGGGTGACAGAGGCGAGTCTTGGCAAATGCACATCTTTTATGTTATCATTGATATTACGAACTTGGGAGCTCTGCTTTTAGGCTTGACTAATAAATCTATATATTATAATTATCTTATTACTAGCTTTTATTAAAATATGAACTTGTAAAGTGTATGTATGCATACATAAGCCCCAGTCTAATGAAAGTGTAATTATTGTTATTGTTATCCATTTAATTCACAAATGATTTTACAATTCGCTTTCAAGTGCAATGATTTCATAGTAAAACCCTTATTCTATAAGTGCCATGCCCTTCACTACATACATTATATTAACTGCCATTCAAGTTTTGGCTTTCACTCCTAAACAACAGCTGGTCCAAACACATGCAAGATCTGTTTTGATTCAGCTGTCTGCACAACCAGTGCAATATTCCACTTTGTTGAATGTAAGTGCTGGCTCAAAGACCATATAAAGTACCATCACCAACATCATCTGGAAAGTGCTTTTGTCAATGGCACAGAATGTTTAAACCATTCTAAGAGGGACCAGCAGGTAAATTCCTCTTGATCACTTCTCAATCAAACATTAAGGTCATGAGGAAAAAGGAAATGATCTCCTTGGAACTGAAAAAGCTCAGGTTACTGGACAAATTCTCCTTGTCAGTGCCATTGGAAATGTCTACAAAACAGTGTGGAAATTAATGTGCTAACTGATCTTAAGGAGTAGAGAGTTTTACCTCTAAAATATAAAATATGCAAGTCAGTAAGTTCATCATTTTAACCCCCCTTCCCATCATTTGGTTGGATAATTAAAGAAATATATCAGCCACATGTTTAATTATTATTAACATATAGTAATAAAATTACCAGTATTAGTAAGAATAATGTATTTATTGTAACCTCTGCTTTAGGTACTGTCCGTGAAGATTCCTTTAGGGCTCTTCCTCGTCCAGCAATGTATTTTCCTGTCAGCTTTGAATTATTCCTCTCCTGTAAAATAAAACATTTTAAAAAAAGGTGAGATATAATAACTCCTTAACTCTCAACATCTGAATGTTAATTCTCCTCTCTGGCTGTTACACATTCCCTGTAAATTAATTGTGAGAATTTGGTGTTACATCAAGAATAACAACTTCTCAGGGAGAAGCCGGCAACGAAGCCAGCTACTATATAGCCATTCCACCTTCTGGTTTTTGTGCGTTTTTCGGAAAAAATTCAATATATTATTCTAAAGGCAGTCATCAATACAGGTTTTTTTTTGTTTGTTGATATTTAGTCTCCTTTTTGGTTGTTGGGTGATTTTTGTAATGAGTTCTCACACAATTGGTTTGCTGTGCGCCATGGACAGAAGAGAAAGACTGGTGACAAATCTGCCTTGATTACCGCTGTTTACTGGATGACATAATTATGAATTCACAATTTGTCACATGAATATCAAAAAAGCTTATGATTTCCTCAGATATTGACACAATAACAAGTAAACCTGTGTAAAAGTTAAATATTCTTAGGTTGCCAATGATGGAAGATAGTTCAGAGGTACAAAAAGGACAGACATCTTTAAAAAAGATGGCAAGACTTAGGCTGGAAAGTTCCATGTTCAATGATAAGTTGTTCAAAAGTAGCATCAAAATAATGCATGCAAAGACCTCATCAGGAAGTGCACCTATAAGATTACTTTGACAATTGGATCAAAACTCTTTTACAATCATATTCCATGTTTTACTTCTGGGGCCTGTAAAGGATCTTTGAAAACCTTTGAATTGTTCAAAATATTAGAAGACAAAGGTTTCATTCTTCTTTCTTTGACAAGTCTCATTTCAACTATAAGCAAGGAATTTCTTATTAAACAATTTGAATCTAACACTTACATCACACCTCAAAACACTAGGACCCATGAAAAATTTAACAATGAAAGAGACTTGATAATTATCAAAGCATGGAGAGCAAATAGAAGAAATAAAATGCAGCAAGTTCATCATGATGGACCCAGAAAAAATTTGGAAAAATGAGACTTGATAAATTTCAAAGGATATAGATGGGACAAAAGAAATAAGACTTCGTCATTGTGAAAACATCTAGATCCAGACACAATTTGGAACAACAAAACTCGAAAAATTGTAAAGAATGGACAGAGAAAGGAAGAAATAAAACGTAGCAACTCCATCATTATGTAAACATAGAGACGCAGGAACAATTTGGTACCATGAAACTTGAAAAATTGTAAACAATGGACAGAAGAAAGAAGAAATAAAAACGTGGCAACTTTATCATGATGGAAACATCTGCAGTACAACTCTCATAGTTTGTTATTTAAATGGAACAATGTTATACACATAGGTCCTACTCTCTATATATTTAAATTACCTTTCCAGGTTGGCCATCCATGGTGTAGTAATGTTCCCTTTATTAGGACGCAATCAGTCACATCTGTTCAGTTCATGATCTACAAGCATCAAAAGAAAATAGATAAATATCATATTGTTGTATAAGAAAACTCTATTCTTGCTATTTCACACTTATTTAAGAATCATGGAGAAGTTGGGGAAGGCTATCAACATTCTCATGTATTGTATGGATATGTCTGAACCATAACATGTACAGAAGCCCAAGTACATACAAATTTTTCTAAACTTGGACATCATCCAGGTTGTTTACAAATTTCTTTGTTCTACTCTAATGGTGCATATGTGGTTGACCTGGTATGTGTTAAGTTCTCAGAACAGATAAACTGAGTAATTACACTTGCATACCAAGCATGGCATGTTGCAAAGGGGGGTCTAACTCTCCCAGAAAAAAGTGAAATTTGAAACTCTCCAAGATCTGATTTGCAGCACTCTTAAGACATATTTAAGTCCCTCTTTTAGCAAAACATTGATGTTAGAATCAATTCAAAAGAACATATATTCTGTCTTTAATCAAATTTCACAAAGTAGCCAGTGAAAAATGGTCTGACAGCTGGTGGGTTTCCGCACCCGACAGGTTTTTAATGACAATCCTGCAGTTATTAATACAATCGTAAAAACACTGATGTTCACTGGCTAACCACATGTTTTATCCCCAAGCAAGATCAACTCAGTGCAGTGGATAAATTCATTCTTGAAGCTGAATTGCCACCAACACTGTGCATTGATTGGAACAGGTTGTTCAAAGCCTGATTTCAGTTGAAGCTAAAACCTTGTCCGATTATTGTTCGGTGCTGTAACTTTGCAGAGAGTTAATTATCAAGCTTATCCATCACCAAAATCTGAGCCATAGCATATAAATTGAGAACATGAATAACATTTAACATCTCTATTTAACTGAGAGTTGTAAAAACAAAGAAGAGATTTCGCTCTGAAGGAGGGCTCATGCTCGAAAATTTCAGGTTTAGAAACTATTTACAGTGGCCAAGGTTCATTATTAAAGCAGTTTATAACGTCAAATTATCAAAGAAGAGATAAGTCTGATTGGGGAGTGGTCAGAATTGACGGAAACTTTTTGGAGGTGAAATCCTTGGTAAAGTTGCAGACTTGTACTTCTCCAAAAACACACAATATTGATTAAAATGAAGTTGAACAGACGTGTTCGTGTTTCGGTCATGGTGAGATTTAGACCTTCAACAAGAGGCCAAGGGGCCTGTCACCAGATGGAAGCAAACTACTTTGATCGACTGCACCAAAAGCGATGAAAGCGAAAGAAATTAAGACAGGAAACTGAACAAGTACACTTCATCCTCGATTTCCTCTGCGTTATTAAAATTACCAAGAATCTCACAGCAAAGTGCATTGGAACACATAAGCCTGTTATAATTATGTTTACACCTTAGTATTAGCCACCGTAAATCGCCTGTGATTCTTGAAACTGCCAACCCAAGGTATACATGAACTTTCCCTTTCAGATACAGCTCGCACTATCAGTTCATTTTTGTCTGAAATTGAAATTTGCGATCACGCAGATCATGCAAAGAAAATTAACGTCATACGCCCAACAGCTGATGTGATGGCAGCATTAGCTCACGCGATCGCGAGAGGATACAAAACGTTGATTTCCGAAAAATGACGATCGAAAGTGGTATGTGGCTAGAAGAAAGAACCATATTATCGAGTTAAAAATACCTTTTGGTTTCCAAGTGACACTTTCTCGGTGCTTACGTTGGCATATTTTCGGTACTACTTCTGTAAGACACCGAGGAAATACGTTTTTTAAGGCAGGATACAGTATTTTATTGGCCAGCGGACACCTCAACGAAACCATAAAATGCCGTTAACTTTTATGTTTTCGCCGCGAGTCAAATCGACAGTGTAAATAGGCAAAACTTAGAAAGAATATTGTAAACTTAGCTTTGAAACTCCGTTCACCTTTTGGATAGTTCTCAAGCTCAATTATATAATTTGCCAAAGCCGAACTGAAGTTGCACACGATATGAAATTGTTGTTTTTCGCTGGCGGCTCCGTGGCAACAAAGTTTTGTTTATAGAAGAGCATAAGCACTAAGGCTAAAAATGAGAAGGTTTTTGAATGGCTGAAGCGGTGATCCGAGGACGCTGCACCATCAGGTTTGTAAAGCAGTGGCTTGAACTGTATAAATCGGTGTGTCAACGGCATTCCGGTCAGATTCGCCGAGAAGACAAAACATGCTCGTTTTGCACGGACACCCTATCCCCCACTCGTTATTGTATGTATCATAGTTGGCCAAAAACCCATGACTGTAACATGTATGGGACTGAAGACCCCAAAAATACAAAAATTGGCTCAACTACAGGAAGAATAAACCGAGGTATGTTTAAGTACAAAATGTTCATTGTAATGGTGATAAATTAGGTTTTCACTTTCCACCTTAGTTTGTAATTTTTTTTTCTAAGCTGTAATTTTTTTTCTGAGCAATAATTTTACTTTCCCAACAAGTATTTGTTTCCCATCACAATTATGAATAATTTGTAGTATGTCTTTTTTTTATGTTGCTCTTCCCTCACTAATCATTTTACTTTATTTCCTTCGTTTTGCTTTTTCTTTTCTTTCTTTACTAACTTACTGCCATCCGCAACAAAATGTAGTAAGCTAACAGAATACTTCTGGTTTATATAGCTCCCTGATTCACAAAGTAACATTACCATCTTGGTACTACTAGAAAAAAAATTGTAAAAAAAAACAAATGTTTAAAAAACAAAAGTACTGTAAGGTAAAATAATTAGAATAATACAATTTAATCGATTTATGTGAATAAAGCACTGTATTGTCTTTTCTCATATTGCAACAGCCTTGAATGAATCAACTATCTTCTAAACTTGATTTCTTATATTCAGAAGCTGCCTGAATTATAAACAAAGAACTTATGTTGGGTGTTTATGGAGGTGGAAAGAACATAATGATTATGATGATTAATCTTCCAAATTAGAAATGTCAGAGGGAAATTATCAGAAGTATTTCTGAAGTCAAAGTTGTTTGTTAAAAATGTTCAGGAGAAAATTGATTAGATTAAGTCAGCTGTCAATTCCCAGTTAACACTAAGTCATGAGGAGTAACCAAAAGCTTGTAATTAGCCTGTGTACTGCTGTGCCCATCCAGTCAAATAAAAATCAGGGATGGGATATTCCCAAACGTAAACAATGATAGCACCATACAAATGTCCTTTTCCCAACTTATTACTGGGGAGGGGAGCACTGGTATGGCTACACTAGTTGTGCTCAATAAGAAATTCTTAACTAATTTTGGAAATATACATATATTTTGCCACCTTGAAAGAAAATGGATACAAGTCAAATAGGAATGTTTCATAACAATGTTCTGTAGGGATATGATGTAATATTACTGATGGGGATATAATTATCCTTACAGTGGCGGAGCATGTGTATGTAAAGCAAAGCAAAGCTAATCTTAAAAAAAAATTAATGGAAGAAGAGTGGTTGATTATTTGCATAAATTACTGCAATGTACATGCAAGATAGTGGAATTTACTTCAGGTAAACATACGTGTGCCTGTAAAAGTTTCAAATGACTGAGTTATAAAAATATAATAATAATAATAATAAAGTGTGTTTCATTGAAAATGCTTTCGTGTAAAACAATTAGAGCTGTTTGGGAAATTAAAGTAGCTGTTGTTGCAACAGAATAACGTTTGTTTAGTGATGTTTACAAAGGAACTGAAAATCGAAGAAATTGTGAATTTTTTGCTGCACCAAGGCTCGACAAAGATTATTATATAGGCGATTGATTGAGGGCGCTGAAAATATGCAATAATTGAGACCGTCCAACATGGTTCCTTTATAATTTATCTTGAATTAAGCCTTTATTGACAGCAGTTGATAGTAGATCTCTATTACATGTCTTAAGTACGTTTGGTTGTGCCTGTTCACGAGATAAAACTGCAAGTAGATGAAATGAACAGATGTTTTCATATTTTGATTACGGACACCCGTTCTTAAAGGCAGAGAAAATCAGAAGGGTGGAATGGCGAAAAATCAGTCTAGAAAGGTAAAATTCTCATCCAAGCGAATAATTACCAAAATGAAAAATCACCGCACGTCGGATCGGCGCAATATAATTTCCACAACACAATAATTACCTGTATCGCTTCATGCTAATAACACTTAAAAATCCACCAGTCTTCAGACTCGCTGGAAAAGTATCTTACAGAACTAACGTCCTGCTTTGTCTGGATAACTATCGCTGTTTTTGACGATTCTGAAGGCGAGCTCGGCTGAAGAACCAAGATCGCGCTTAACTGGACGGCCAGCCTAAGTCAGCAAACAGCACACAACTCTAAACAAAATGACTCCCCTATACCGCTATTTGTTAAGACGTGGTTTTAGTAATAAAAACCCATTCAAAGTATCAAATATAACAAACAAGGAGAAGTTTCATGCATATTTTCCAACTTAAAACCACGCAAAAGGCCGATGTGTTCATCTAACTCAGTCTACAAACATATAGTAGCGCTTGGCAGCCTAAAGTTGATAACCACTGACCACTTACTGTGACGTCACGAAAACGTATTTCCGCGGTGGTATGAATTGTACGAAAGCGAGATTGTTATTAATATGAGGGAGGGGTGGGTGAGTACAAAATAAAACGGATTAAAATATATATTATTGAGGTTAGGTCTAAAAATATAATAATTTGTGATTCTTACTTAAATTCTGTTTGATCATAAAAAATGGATATAATATGTTTAAATGAGAGATCCAAATGGAAAAAACATCTCATACGCCACATCAACCTTGGCCAGCAGAGAGGCATTTGGTCTGCGAATGTTCTGTAAACTTTTATTGATGCTGGTATGTGCCTTCGTCGGTTTCCCGCTACAGAATTGAAGCAGCAGATAGAAAATTTGTCGGAAATCAACAATGACGAGTACTTGAGGCATGGCAGCCTTGCAGATAAAATGCCCATCTGCTACCTTAGCCTTAGTCTCCTTCGCAGCCGCTCGGGCCGGAGTCACGCAACGCTCCCCGTCCCCACGTGGGGACGGGGAGCGTTGCGTGACTCCGGCCCGAGCGGCTGCGAAGGAGACTACCTTAGCCTACACCAGAAAGTACATTTGTGGTTAGTGGGAGCGAGACGAAATAAGGCCGGATCATCTCCAGTCCCTCCCAAATTGAGTTAAAAATTCAACATGGCGGACGTTTGGGAACAACTTCCATTGAGAAGAAAGAATAGAAAAGAAAGAAGCATGAATTATGCTCTTACACCACTCTGGTTTGATCATTCGGTGGATTTCTGCATCAGGAAAAGATGAACATTATTCCAACAGTGGATGGACAGAGCCATACTTTCCTGTCTGAGAATGTTCGTCAGCTGATTTGCGAATCTTTCGAAGGGCTTGAATGTGCTGGAATCAATGCGATCCGGGCGTCTGAATGTGATTTCACAGAGGATGGTTATTTGTTATGGGAAAAAATTGGGACAGTTCTTGGGCAAGGTATTAGAGAAACTCTGATTTGAAATATGCATTCCAGTATAAAATATATAGGCTAGTTTATTTTTGGCTAGTTTGCTATACTTTGTTTCAAGCTAGTGCCCAAGGATCAAGTAAAGTGCGGATTATTCTATCTAGCTCCACTTCTCCGTTTATATAGTGAGAATATGTACCTATTGACTGAGTGGGGGGTCGGACAGGAAAATCTTTGGCTCGAAGGCATGACTTATGGACCGAGCGCAGCGATACGAGAGCCAAGTATTTTCGGCCTGACCCAACTCAGTCAATAAGTATTTTATCGTATGATCACTTGCTAAGTTTTAAAATTCAAAAGAATTTGTTTTAACTTAAATAGGACGCGCTAGCTAGACTGGTGCGTGCGGGAAAACCACAAATAAGATTCTGCCAAAAAAAACTTTTCACTGTTCACTGCTGTCACTCATTTTTTTGCAACAACAGCAAATAATGTTTCTTTTTTCCTTTTTTTTCTTATTTCAACAAAGCTGTACATATGCACTAGGAGGGTCCCCTAGACTCTTTTTTAAAACTCAATATAATGTAAAAATATATGGCCTTTTTTGTGCATCAGGCATAATATCCCAATTTTTTCCAGGGGTTAACCAAACCCCCTTGGCTCTTTCCTGTGACCTTTTGTTTTTGTATTGATATGAAACTTACTAGTTGTCTCCCCATAGATCTAATTAATGATCACTCCAACTGTGATTATCATGATGCTGTGACAAGGTTACGTCCAGTTTGTCATGCTGTCCACCAGGAGCTTATCTGTCTACAGCCACCTGAATTTGAAATGCAATACATGCCTTGTCTTTTATGGACTGGATGTGAGAGAAGATTTCAAGAGTGCTTCAAACTTCTCAAATCTCCAAATACTGCTGATAATAACTTGTGCCTGTTACTTTTGACATCTTCTCTGGAGCATGCACTGGGTGATGTGTATTTGTCATATTCTTGTGCACCTCATTGTCCATCTTTACTTAAAGACTTGTTAGCAACACAAGAACTGAAAGAAGTGTTTGGTGAAACAGTGATAAGGCTTTTGCACATCTTAATTGGCCCTCCCTCCAGCCTAAACCTTAGGAATGTTTTGTGGCATGGCTTTGCAGGACCTGGAGAAGTTCCTATTCAGTAAGCATGTGTTAATTAATGCACAGTATTAAATTCTCCTCCTCAGATATTGAATCTCTAGTATTCTGATTGATTCATGCAATCTAGGATATGAATAAAATGGGGAAATTTCACCTTTGGTGGAAAATGATCATGCCAGGTGTGCAAAGCTGAATTTTTTTTTAAAGTTCACTCTCCATTGCAGTATTTGAAAAAAATTCAACAAAAATGAGCTTAGCCAACCAGTATATTTAAACAATAGGCTACTTTCTATCTGTTTATCCATATAATAATCCACGAGGGATCAGTGTTGGGAAAACACTTGAAATGTAGCATCAGTATGTAGATGTAGTCACTAACAGGAATAATTATATTCAAAAGAGTGACCAGAAAGGAATTAATACTCCCTCAAGATCATTAAACTTTTCAGCAGAAAGATCATGAGAAGTAAGAAAAATACATTTCTCAATTCTTAAATCTACATTTTCAGACTGAGCTAAAATTATAAGAACTGTCAAGGAGACAAAATTGTTGTATGAGAAAACTTGTCTAGATCTTGGGAGAAAAAGGGTTCGTGCATGGCATAGGCAAGTACATAATATTAATGCAAGTTCACATTTTGTTTGATCTTTAGGTATATCTCACTGCTGCTAGTGATCACTGCTTCACTGAATGTCAAGCTAAAAGACCCTCCATTTTGTTCAAGAGAGATTAAGAGGAGACCTTTGATTGCCTTGTCAACTTGTGCTGATGATAAACTTCACAGTGCTTTTCCTACTTTAGAACTGTGTAACATGACAGAGATATTCAATTTATTTTATTCAAGTTCTTTTATCATTCCAAGTATGCTTCCATTGTGGCTTACAGCACTTGATTACTTAAAAGAGCAAAGGTATGTCAGGATCTTCATCTACTTTTTTTCCTTATTTGAAAAATGCTGTTGGACTTTCTCAAACCTTCCTGTCTTCAGCTTGATAGTGTTAATCATTTCATTTGAAAGGAATAAATCTGGGTCCAGTTGTATGAAGGGCAGACAACGCTATCCAATAGATAAATTGCAATTATTACCGCCACATGCGGCCAAATGACAAACTACGCTCTCTAAAACACTCCTTTTCACAGGCCAAACGGCAAAGTGTGGGCTGTAAATGGCATTTGCCACCCACTCAAACATGAACCCTCAGTCTCTTCTACAAAACCATTTTATTTCTTTGGCACAGCCGTATCTAAATTACACCCAATATATTCAGATTGGAGTAATGAACAGTTATCATGGAAAGTATGAAGATCGAACCATCACCACCAACCCGCAAATGCTGCCAAATAATCAAGAGTGATAATAACCACTAAACATGTTTTCTTATTAAATGAATTTGTACAATTTGGCCTTGTGTATTGATAATAATGATAATGACATGACTTTTGTCGGACATATAGCTTATTTGTGTCCCTTGTAGCATCGTTTGCACCCCCGCTCTGCTCGGGCGTTAATGATGCTACTCGGGCCACAAGTAAACTATATGCCCTCCAAAAGTCATGTGATTGTCCTATTCACTACTCTATCCACTGGATAGAGATTTAGTTAGTGCATAGTGTTATCCAACCTTTGAACAACTGGGGCCTGTTGTTTGCCTCAGTTAACCTTTGACACCCTAACATCAGCATGCATGTTCTCCATACTGTTCTCTATACATTTCCTAAGGTGCTGACAAGGAGAATTTGTGTAACAATCAAGAGCTTCATTAGTTGATGATCATTTCCTATACTCTCAAGACCTTAATGTTTGATTCAGGGGTGATAATGTGAGGAGAAATTGGATGCTAGTCACTCTCAAGGGTTAAGGAAAAACCAATGAAATGTGTGCAACCTTGGACTGAATCCTGGAACATAAAAAAAGCAAACTAACACATGTTACAAGGTAATTTGGTTATATCAACTAGGAGCAAATGGACAAAGGGCGAACACTTGAAACGTTGGCCTTTTTCAGGGGTTTCATTAAGGGCCAGGCACCGGGCAAATTGACCGGTTGTGAGGACGGCTTTGCCCACCTGATTTGACAGTCTGGAGGAAAGTTTATCTTATAAAGGAGTTCAGTTCAAAGAGTTTTGCCCGCCTGTGAAAACCAGTTGCCCTCCAGCAGAAAACATTAATGAAGCCCCTGCCTTTTAACTCTTTAGGTGGCCAATTTACAATCTCAACTTAGTTGATATAACCAAATTACCTTGTTGTTTAACCCCACCAATGCAGCACTGTGGTTGCTTTAGAAACTTACCCCTTAACACATGTTACAGATAGGATCTATTTTTAGGATACTGTAAATGAAATAATAATTTTGCAATATTTATTTTCCCTTTCAGATTTGACTTTTGTGTCATGCTATTGCTCCCTCAGTTGGAACATGGTCTAAGGAGAGTATTTGCTTGTGTAAACAACTGTCCACACAGAGTTCTGACAGCAGAATCAACAGTATTGTATACAACATTTGATGAGGTAGACATCCACCTCTGAATTAAAGTTACAGGCTTACTTGTGCTAACTAGTTCAAGAGAATCATTGCTTTAGATTGACTGAGGGGAAGCAAAATGGCAGTCATTTTCACCCCTACATCAGTATGTATACACATTCTCTATACAGTTGTCTATATGTTTCCTGAGAGGCTGACAAGGAGAATTTTTTAACAACCAAGAGCTTCTTTTGTTAGTGATCAATTCCTTTACTCTTGTGACTTCAATGTTTGATTCTTGGGTGATATTTAACAATTATTCGCCAAAGGCAAGGTTAATATCATCAAATAATCCCCGAGACAAAGTCAAGGGGATTATTCGACAATATTCACCGAACCTGAGGCGAATAATTGTTTTAGTATAATTTCAGAGCTGAACAACAGAGAAATTTCTAAAATCATAAGATTTTAGTAACATTTATTAACATTTTATTTTAACATTTTATATAAACCGTGTGGAGCTGTTTATATAGCGTCATATAAGAAACCGCTCGACCAATCAGATTGCTGGAAACTCTTTGCTTGGCTCTGAAATTATACTCATTTAAGGATAGTCGCTCTTGGAGGTTAAAGGGTAAGAGTTGCCAATTGAAAACACTTTGCTAGGGAGAAATGTGGTTCTAATGGGGCAAAAAGGCCCTAACAATTTTGTTCAAGATTGTCTTCTGTTATTTTCTTTACTTAAGATTCTTGCACCTGTTTTACAAGATGGCACGGAAAACCTTTTGAGGCAAGAATTAGGAGATGCCCTCATGGAAATGTTGCTTGATGTTCTTGTGCATTCAGAGGGACCAAGAATTCGAGACCGCATTAGCCATGGTGAAGTGGATCTGCAGCAGATTTCACAGCAGTTGGCCAATCACATTCTCTGCATTTGTATTGCATTTGCTGGATCATATTTGAACTCAGATGCTGGAAATTTCCCAATTACCTCAAGGATCTGTGAAACAGCAAAAGTGTACAAGTCCCTGTTTCATCCTATTTCTCTCTTAGCAAAGGTAGTACACAATCTTGCTTTTCTATTGCTGAAGTGGAAAGATCTACCAAAACCATCTGCTGAAGAATTTGACATTTTGGAGTGTGATGGCAACAAAAGCACTGCTAAATTTCCAAATATGTCAAGAGCCCTCCAAGCTGTTATCATGGCATCAACCATTTTAAGTGGTGAAAGTTTATCTAAAATGTTACCTTGTCAATTTGATTTGGACAACACTGACACTTTTTTCCAAGGATGTTTACAAATCTTGGATACTGCCTCATTTCCAACTCTGTTCAGGCCTAAAGGAGAGCTGGAGATTGCTATATTGTTACGGAGCATTGTACAACGTGGAAAAGTGACATTTGAGCAGGCAAGATAAATTCCAAACTCATTCCCAGGCTCCCTCTTATTCCCAATTCCCCTCTTATTCCCAATTCCCAGAAATGTGAGAGAACATGAGAGTTAGACCCACACCACAGGGGATGGAGCCTGGGAACAAGGTTGGAAAACACTATTTTATTATCTCACATGACAGCTCCAGTTAACCCTTTACACCCAAACAGTATTCATATTTGCCACACTGTTCTCTTAACGTTTTCTGTGGTGCTAACAATCAGGAGCTTTTTAAATTGGTGATCATTTCTTTTATTCTCAAGACCTTTACAGTTGATTCAAGGGGGATACTGTAAGGATAAATAAGAAGCCAGTCCCTCCCTCCCAGGGATTGCAGGGTTGAATATTTTGGGACACCTCTTTTTGGGGAACAGCACCACTCAAGGGAACACAAAGTTTGGTCTTGAATAAAAAAGCCCTCCTATGCCTGTCACCTTCGCTAGAGGGTCACCTCAAGTAAGGGAATGAACACTTTTTCCATCCTCAGCGGTGTCTTATGGATGGAATTTCCAGTGTATTAAAAGGTTTGCCCTATTGCAGAAATTTTTGTATTAGCGTTTAGCTGTCTTTGGTATTTTCAAATATCTTTGGCAACATATTCGGATTATGTATATGTGCACGATCCTTCGCAGTAAAGCACTATTTGAGCAATAGTGAAAATCAGACCTGAAAAAAAATTTCAGGCCTGTACGGGACTCGAACCACTGACCTCTGCGATACTAGTGCAGCGCTCTACCAATTGAGCTAACAAGCCAACTGGGAGCAGGCCATCAAATTAATTCGACATAAACCCGTAGATGATAAATCAAACAACAACAAACATATGAAACATATGTATGAACTGCGGTTATGAAACGTATATGTGCACGATCCTTCGCAGTAAAGCACTATTTGAGCAATAGTGAAAATCAGACCTGAAAAAAATTTCAGGCCTGTACGGGA